ATACCATAGAGTTAACCTTTGAGCTACGGATTTCCAGTAGTGATAAATCATTTCTCTTCTGTTCTTTAATAAAATACAGATACTTAACTTATCTTAGCTTGTTTAAAACATTAAGCCTTAAATGAATTGGTCAGTAAATAACCTTAGATACTTTTCATCCATTATCGATCATAACTAAGGTATTTTATATGGACTCATTAAATCTGTAGTTACCGTTCATCATGGATTGATCTCAGTTTGTGTATCATTGGAAACCAAGAAGAACTAAGCAGCTGGTTCGTATTAAGACAAGAGTCCTAAATATTGTTTATGCCAAAATTACTTCTGAAAAGATCTGTCTTATAATACAGATGTAATACAAACGTAAAACGCATATGTAAAATAAGTCATTGGTTAACATGGTCATATTCATTCTGCTTAGGTGATATTTATTTCGTAAGGATTCCTTGTTAGTTGAATGTGTCAAACACCAGTGTTAGACTAATCTATAAAACAATATTTAATAGGACGGTCTTGAATTATCAAATTTTAAATTTTGTTATTAAGTGACAGTTCTGACAAACAACAAAGTTAAAGATGGATGGTGGCTAGCAGTGGAATCAAGCACACGCGTTTCGTCCTATTTTGGACTCGTCAGCTGGATGTACGTGAATCCCAGAGTTGACGTTCAAGCCGGGACTGAAACTCAGTAACGTTCGCTTCAAACGTCATTGCGCTATCCACTTAGTTAATGAGTCCAAATAGCTACTAGCTTGTGCAATGGGGTGAAGTTCCAATTCAATTTTGTAGTGTTTCTTTAAATGTTCCCATTGATTTTTTATCATTCTCTATTGGTGTATGTGCATCCTATACGGATCGTCCCAATATTGCCTTAATCCACAAGCATTATAAGCACCAACTCTGATGCAAGTAAATCCAGCTGGCGAGTCCCAAGTAGGACGAAACGTGCACCAAACTGGATTCTACTGCTAGCCGCTATCTATCTTTGCTTATAATACTAAGCGTATCGTAGACTGAAATAACAGACATATTTACGTTCATGTAGTCAATGAATATGTCATATTATGGTAAACCTTTGATGAAAAAAACAAAATTATGTTATGAATTTTTCTGTGACTGTAATTTCTATTCACCATGCGCACTTCATTCTGATATCCTAAGATGGATCTCATAATTCTTTCGAGTATATCCCTGGTATCCATAACAAGTGGACACTCAGTGACGAGAACACTGATTATATATATATACTCATGATTTACGTACATAATTATCCTGCCTTGGTCATAAATTTCCTATGAATTCTCAGTCACATAACTGACTCGGCTGAACGTTAGCAAATTCCTTTATTATTGTAGTGTATGTTACTTATACTGAGAGATATAAGTAGTATGTAGCACCAATCGAAAGTGGAATGCCTGGAAGAAGATTGAAATGAAAAGAACAGCAAGGTAAACAGTGAACAATCAAAATAACTGCAGAATTAAAGGAATAATGGAGCATATAAAGAGCAACGCAAATAAAATGTGCAAACGATGTATTTAATGTATGATTTTCATATTTTATGATGCCGCTGTGTGTGAATCCACATTAGACGGTAAATTGATTTTTCACACCTGAGTTTTCGTCCACTACATCATGACTAAATCCGATTGTACATCATAGCACATTACGAAAGTCAGGTAGTTCTTACCACTAATCTGAAGATACAAACGGGAAGAATCATTGAGATTTTAGAAAAGTATTTAATCTAAAATCCATTACAAGAGATTTTATTCATTGTCATTGGGTATAACGAAAATGATGAGTATAGGATTGTGGAGATTGCTGATTTTTAACTGAGATCATGTGTAGATCAACGTTTAAATATCATTGAAGACCTGAAAGCACTGAATGGCCTCTTTATTTTAGTATAGGAACCATCAGAAGTGCTTGTCCACGATGCCACACCAAAGGGACTCGAACCCAGAACTTTCGGCTTTGTACGTGAACACTTTACCTCTAGATGAATGAGTCACGATCCAACTGTTTTAATATCTAACTTCAACTAATACACGATATTCTGCTACTATCTTCCATTAACTTCACTGGATAACTGCCTCACACAGGACATGGATTGAACTCTACTGATTATAGTGTTTCACTAGATCTCCAAGAATTACTTCTCGAGGTTAGTCACTTGTGAGCACATCATATTTAGAGTTGCGGAGATTATTAACAAACCAAATATTTCATTTGTTTAAATATTCACATTTTCTTATTTCACTGTTTCATTTACATAACTAATATGATATCCGAAAGAGCGATAATGCTATAGATATGAAACTATGTAAATAGCCCCGATTAATTTTGCTTGTTTGAGCGATATGAAAATTGGAAAGCTGTATTCGAAAAGTAGCTGAGTTTATAATGAATTGATATTTAATGCAATAAATAGTTGATGGGGATCAGAATGGGAATGGAAAAACTAGAATATCAGTCAGCAACAACATAGAACTCTGTACTTATGTACGTACATCAGATCAAGTTGCCATAACACATTAACACACAGATACAATTTTCGATTCAAATCCAATTGTGGTAGAGGTCGTAAGTGTATAAGCAGTAATCGGAAGCATTAGGGTTTGAAGATGTTATTCAAGGAGTATAATCCAGTGAAATTAACTTGGGAAGAGGAGAAGGAAAGGGACGTGAATAATTTAGAAGATTGGAGTTTGAGAAAACACAAGGAGTGGATACATCTGCGCCATTACAAACGATTTTGGGCCATGTCATTCAAGGTCTCGTACCATCAGTTGTAATCGTCTTGCGGATCCTAACCAGGTAATCTACACCCACCAACATGGCTTAGTCCACTTGTCAGTGACTTCGTGGATTTGTGTGATGTTTTGATCTGGCCGCCCCTATCCTACTTCCAACATACTCCTACACCATAAAACATGCATCGATGGTCCTAGGATATATGGGCAATGCTTCAAAAACACGTCTGATCGAATACTATAATATGAATATATTCTCATCCATATTTGTTGAACGATAAAGAATTTCATAATTAGATTTTCAATTAAATTCCATTAACTCAATTCACAATGATTAACAATTAGCAATCATTTATATTTCACTAAACTATACATAAATTAAAATGTGATTCAGACAACAAGAACGACTGGAACAACAAATACTACTTTTGCATATACTACTTATATAACTACTATTAAATAGTATACTTGTAACTATGCAAATGTGTGTTTGACTAATTATTTGATTAGATGGAGCACCTGTGATTTATAGTTTCACATGACTTGATATATAAAAAAGAAATGAAAGTTTTTTTTCTTCTTAGAAAAAAAAACATGGATTTTAAGTTTGTTTCCAATAGCCCATGAGAGAAACTATGTATGCATGTATGTGTTGCTAACGGCATACACACCTATGTAGATAGATAGATAGATAGATACATGTGGGTATTATTTGGTAGTCTTGGATACTTAAAAATAGACACACACACACACAGTAACCAACAATCTCTACATATTTCATCCTCTTATTTCATTCTTGTTTCATTCTATTTATATATCCAGGGATTACGTTCACAAGATAATTTATCATTGAATAAATATGTATTACCAACCTATAGACAAGAGAATTCATTTGTAAAATATATCACTTTGGAGAATCATAGTAACAGTAATAGTAATAGTAATAGTACTAATAGTCTTCAACAACAACATCGTCATCAGACGTATCAACGAAATCAAAGACAATCATTATTAATACAACATTCCGATTTGAATATATCAAAATCACAAGTAATAAATACTACTACTACTACTACTACTACTAACAGCACTGATAGTAATCATAATCCATTATTAACTCGGTCTATTCATTATGAAATTGATCAAAATGACAAATCGAAATCAATAAATATCACTACGACTACTTCTGCTGGTACAACAACAACAACTACTACTACTACAAATTCTTCGATTACTACAACGAATAGTTCAGTTGAAAATCTATCAGATCATTTGATCTCATCAACAAAACATCTATCCAAATTAGTTCCACCATTAATAGGACTTAATGAAATCCATGTAAATGATTCACAAACATTACAACATGATCTATGTATAAGTAGTAGTAATAATGATAATGATAACGATGATGATGATAATGATGATGATCTAAGTAATCCATGTCATAGTCAACGTGATCAATCTATCAATAATAATAATGATCTATTAATCAATAATAATAATAATCATCATCATAATCATTGGCAAGATTCGATACAATCCACTTGTTGGTTACCAAAAGTTGCTATGAATTCAAATCGTACAAAATGTGATGAGATTTTATCAACAAATTGGAATTTATTAACAATGAAAAATTGGAAATCCGATCAAGAATTAAAACGTAAAATGGGTTTACTGAATCCTCATCATCATAATAAATTAGGAGGAGGAGGATTTTGGTTTCGTGAAAAAGCATTCAATCATACAAAATCATTTATTACTGGTAGACGAAGAATAGAACAACAACAACAACAATCAAAAGGAATGTCATTCAGTGCTATAGTGAATCATTGTCCATTGATTAATCAATATTTACCATCAAATAAAGCGGTAAGTTTATGATCGATTGAATTAGTTGTTGTTGTTTTCTTTTTACGTTTGTATGTAGATATATATGTTGTACTGTATGGGGTAGAAATCTGCAGAACTACGGAAGTCATCCTTCAGTAGATAAAAGTGATCAACAACAGTTGTCTACGCAAAATACTTCGGATCCATTGGCCGGACACTATTAACAACAGCCTAATTTGGGAGAGAACAAACCAGATCCCAGAGGAGGAAGAAATGAGGAAGAATCACTAAACGTGGATAGGACACACATTGAGGGAAGCACTCAACTGTGTCGCATGACAAGCCCTTATCACTTGGAATCCTCAAGATCGAAGGAGAAGTGGAAAACCAAAGAACACATTACGCCGGGAAATGGAAATAGACATGAGAAAAATGAACAACCATTGGATAGAACTAGAAAAGGAGTCCCAGGACATAGTGTTTTGGAGAATGCTGGTCTACGGACTATGCTCCATTAGGAGTAACAGGCGTAAGTAATAAAACACGGAGTCAAGAAAGTTACTTGTTGAAGAGTGCCTTACCAGAACAAAACAACTAGCATTTTATAGTTTTTTTTATTGGTACCTTAAATGACATCAGTCTGTAAAGAAGATAATCTAAAAATAAAAACGATTTTCATAAAACACCACTGTCAAAATGAGTTTTTTCAAAGGAATATTCAATAGAATGAATATCAAAGAGCTCGAAAAAAATTATGTTGTGAAAGATTAAACATTAAGAATTTAGCTGAAAAACATAGAATGAAAGACTAAAATGTTTAAACTTAAGATGTTAATGATAATAACATTTGAATACATCTATCGAATTTGAACTGATTTTTAGCCAGGGTTTCCTGTCGACCACCTCCAACCACCATCTAATCTCAATAGATATAGTGCACGCAGTGTCGAGTCACCTAGACTGGTGGCCACATTGCACCATAGTCGATAGTATTCGATCTGCACTAATAATAAGGACTTGATACACATGACATTGATTACCCACCACCCAGTGATCAATCAGTTGTGATTAGTCATATCATCTAACGTTTCTAACCGTTTAACTCAATTCTAACTAAACAGTCTTTACTTACCTCTATGACTCAAACCAATAGTCAACAACTGACTTCACGTTTTGATTTAGTCTCCCTTACCTTTCATCTAATCTAATCCTATACCAATAAATAATGTACTTCGATTTGAGTAATAATGAGGCATATATATTTACATATTGTTGTATCGGGTGAGACTGCAGGTTTTGATAACCAGCGTTTTATCGTTCGATCACAGTAACGCGGAAAACACGTATGGACGACCTAGAGCCCTGATTGGTCCCGCTTCGCAGTCTGTCCCAGCCAGTTGAGTCAGGAACACAAGTCACAACCTCTGAGTTATGAATCATTGTATTTCAGACATACTCTGTTTATATACTAACCAAACAAACCACATCGTACCATAAAATAGAAAACAATATTTAACAAGTGAAACAAACACCGACCAATGGGAAATGTCCATTTAACGTTCAAGGACACCATTCGACCTAACACGATAATTATTGGCATATTCCTCAGCATACCTAACATATATCTCAACAAGTTTAGTCAATTACAACTAATACTGTTAGGATATGGTCAGAATCAAATTTCGGTAAACCATCAAGTTGAAAGTCTTCAATAAGCTTCATTCTTTGGATAATGAACCCAAAACTTATAGTTAGATACAATTCACTTGGTATTATTTGGCTTGTATCTTCCCATTGAGGTTTAAGACCACATCCTGGATTCCACTGCTAGCCACTATCCATCATTGCTTACAAAAAGCTTGTGAATTAAGGCAATATCGAGGCATACGCACAGTATGCACATATGCCGATAACAGACTGATCGATTGCAGTCTTAAACATCAATGGGAAGATACAAGGCAAATAATACCAAGTGAATTGAAATTCACCCGATCGCACAAGCAAGTGGCTATCAGGACTCAGTAGCTAAGTGGATAACGCGATGGCGTTTGAAGCGAATGGTACTGGATTCGAGTCTCAGAGTGAATATAAACTCTGAGATGCAGGTACATCCAGCTGACGAGTCCCGAATAGGACGAAACGCGCGTCCTGGATTCCAATGCTAGCCACTATCCATCATTGATTACAAAAAATTATAGTTAGTGTACTTTAAAATTTCTAAATGAATTTCATTGACGAAATGATTGATGCCAGTATCAATGTGAGTCATTGTATTAATTCAATGATTAGATAAATGAATTTTTTGTTTCAATTTATATAATACTTCTAGGCATCTTGATTAAGTAGTATTTTATAAGAGAAATTATAATGATAATGTTGAATAATTAACTTCAATTAGATTTTATTAGCTGAACATCAATGAACTGATTAAAGAATCTAAACCGTCTAATTGTCAACTTTATTGATTGTTTAACTAAATGACAATTAAAAATATGTTCATCAATATAGGGTTGGGAAGATTGATGTTAGACCATCATTGAAAACCTCAGTACAATGGAAAATAGTCGCACAATTTCGTGGATTGGTTGAGGTTAGACATCAACACCGTTGGATGCCGGGTCAATGTTCTAGAGGTTAGGCGTTTCGCGCGAGAGATCAATAAGTCCTAGTTCTGAATCCCATGTGCAGGATCGTGAATGCATACTGCGAAGGACTCCCATACTAGGGAGAAACGGCCGTTCAATGCTTCTAGGTTTTCCATGGTAGTCTACCCTCAATTAACTCATGAACACAACTATTACGGTGATGTATTATCCATAAAAACCCTTTTCTGATGATACTAATATCACTCACAAATGTTCCATACATATGGAATATAAACTTTTTTTGTATCGAATTTAGTGATATAGAAGTTATTTGTCTTTCAGTTTTACAAGAAGAAATTCAGTCAAAAGAGAGTTCAATGGTGACTTTATAGATACAATATTCAATTGTCTACAATATTGATTAATAAATCAGAAATGAACATTCATCGAGCATCTAAGAATTAACTATTTTATAACCGATACGAGAATTAAGGTTTTCATGTTCCTCTCTATTGATTGTTACATAACTACTATAATGCCGACTTTTCATTAAAACAGTTTGTTATTTCTTCTTCCATATTATGTAATGTACCGACTGTTTAGTCTTTCGAATAATTTTCTGACGTTTCTTAACTCAGTTTAAGCCACTTCTTCAGAGAAATAATTTATTTTATTAGTTCAATTCATGAGTCGATGTAAGCTAGATCATCATTTAAAAGCTGGAAGCTTTGAACGGCCAATTCATTTTATTATGGGACTTCTTATGAATGCGCATCCATGATCCCTTACTAAAGGGATTTGAACGCAGGGTTTTCTGTCCCATACTCGGTAATCATCAAGATAGGTTTGTGGAGATTATTAAGTTTTTAATTGAGATCATGAACCGATTGATGTTAGACCATCATTGAAAACCTGAAAGCACCGGACGACCAATTCGTTTTATTATGGGACGACTCCTCATTAGTTCGAATCCATGATCCCTCATGAAAGGGACTCGAACTCAGGACTTTCGATCTCATACTCGATTAACTATACATATATCTCTAATAATAACAACTACTCAATATCCAATTTATTTGAAACTATTAAGTTATGCCATACTCATGACATTATTGTGTGTTTCCTTCTTGTTGTGTTTTTTTTGTTTTCAAGTTACACTGTCAATTCGATACGGTACCAATGGAACAAACTGAAATTTTTAGTTTACCTGAAGCCAAGTCTAAATTTTCCATTGATAATTCACTTCTAAGCTCAAATCGAATTTCTTCAATGCACAATAATAATACTACTAATATTACTACTACTAATAATAATAAAAAGGTTAAAAATACCAAATCTCTAATACAATCTAATAATGATTCAATGGATGATTTCAATAAAACAATCAAATGTAAATTCAATCAGTTACAGTCAGATACAAATGATACATCCTTATCATCATTATTATCGATTCAAAATACACAACATTTTATAACAAAATACCCAGATACTAAGTTATATTTAAATGAAAAAGCCCCAGCAACAACAACAACAACAACAACAATAATGAATGGGTCAAATGTGATTCAACAATCAAAGGATAATCTCTCTTTAAAAATCAATCATTCTAATGAATATACACCATCATTATCATCATCAAGACGATATCAACATAGTCAACAATGCACTCATCATAGTGATTATGATAATGGAATACAATTGAAAGATATTTCAAATCGTGAATTAATTATACCATTAAATACTACTAATAATAATACTACTAATACCACTATTAATAACAATAGTAATAATAATAATAGTAATGGTAATCAATTATGTACCGATGATGTAATAAGGGATAAATTCAAAGAAAAATCAATATTAATTGAATCACACAAATTAAATAATAATCAACAACAAAATGATAATGAATTAATAAATTTAATGGAAAAATTAATATACCAATGACACCACATAGTAAGTTAGCAATATAGATTATTATTATTATTTTTATTATTATTATTATTAATTAAGCAAATATGGATAGTAACTAGATGGTGGTTGGAGGTAGTTGACAGGAAACCCTGGACCCGGGTTTCATGCTACTTGGCACTTGCCGGCAAGGTGTATCTGTAATCTTGAGGGAACTGGTGCTCCCTGGAGGATCCGATCCCGTGTCACCTGACATACACAATTATTGATCACCACCCAGTGATTAATCAATTGTGATGGATAGTGACTAGTAGTGAGATCAAATTTGAAGTACGCTTCATCCTATTTAAGACTTGTCAGCTGGATATATCTGTATCTTAGAGTGGATGTTCACTCGAGAACTTGAACTCAATATCATTCTTTCCAAACGCCATCAAGTTATCCACTTAGCTACTGAATCCTGTGATAGCCACTTATGCCAATAAGAAACTGATCAATTGAGATCCTAAACATCAATGCGAAGATCAATGTTTGTTCTTGCTCTATTTAAATTCATAAAGGGAACCAATTGCATGAAATTAACACAAACAATCGATTGTGATTACATCTCAGTTCTACAGGGAGGTCGGCCGCTGCCCGGATAGCTCAGTGGTAACGTCTTTGACTGTGAATCTGGGTAACACGGGATCGAATCCGTCAGAGAGCACCAGTTCCCTTAAGATTACAGGTACACCTTGCTGAAGAGTGCCAAGTAGCACGAAACCCAGGTCCAGGGTTTCTTGTCGACTATCTCCAACCACCATCTAAAGAATAATGAGTGAATTTCCACATTTAATTCAACGAATACAAAGTCCAACTTAAAAACTCCTAGATCATCTAGATTTTTCCAACTAACTAAAACAAGAAAAAATATTGTTAAAACTGCATGATGTATCCATGTGATTTACTAAAAAAAAAGAACAAAAAATACAAACAAACTAGGAATAGAATTTTTCATGTAGTTTCATGTTTAAAAATTTAATTTACAATTGATTGATCACTGGATGATGATCAATGACTATGTATGTCAGGTCCTTCTTTTCTTAGTACAGATCAAATCTTATCGATCAAATTGTAATGTGGCTACTAATCTAGGTGACTCGACATTATGTGCACTAGGTTAAAGATAAGTTGGTGTGGTTGGAGGTAGTCAACAGGAAAATCTAGAACTAGATTTTGTGCGACTTGGCACCCATCAACAAGGTGTATCTATAATCCTGATCCCGATCTCGTGTCACCTAGCTTCTTAGTCAGAGACGTTACCATTGCGCTAACTGGGGCGTGTCTGACTTCCTGTAGGACTGATATGTATTTAAAATTGATTGGTCACTAGATGGTGATCAGTGACATGTGTGTCAGGTCTTTCTTATTACCTGATGGTAACGTCTCTGGCTGTGAAGCTGGATGAAACGGAATCAAATCTGTCAGAGAGCATCAGTTCCGTGAAGATTACAGGTACACTATGCTGACGACTGCCTCGTAGCACGAAACATAGGTTCAGAGTTTCCTTTTGACTACCTCCGAATACCATCCTAAAAATTCAGTAAAACTGCCACTCTGATTAACGTATATCTCTAAACTGAATGATCAAGCACTAATGATTGTAGTGAACGAGAACACAAGTTCGGAACAACCGAAGGTATGTGAATAAAAATATTACAGAACCTATTAGTAGAATCCGAGAATCATACAGTAAGTATTTCATTTGCAAAACGTCAAACAATCGTCTCAGAAAATACTGTTCCTTCATTTCCATACCAATCGCTCTCTGTTCTTGTTCTCTTCTCAACTTTCTCTCATCAGCCATTCCGCTTTAGATCGATAACACATACTACTTATATCTATCGACATCAGTAGTACATACCACATTGACCAATGTCATTTTTGCCCAGTTATTTAACGTTATTGAAAATTCTATGAATCAACTTGTCAAAGTTGACATTGTATGCACTATATTTTCTTAAAGTGAATGTGATCTCACAGTAGGGATAACATTAGTTTCCTCAAGATAGCAGGTACAACTTGGGTGATGAGTTCCAGCTATGAAGGGACTTTGGTCAATACAGAGTGTTTCCCAAACTATCTCCGATCATTTTATATCCTGATACTATAACTGTCTAGCTTTATATTATACTAATAAATGTGTTAACAAATAAATATTAGTGTGAGGGATTTGTGGAGAATGTAGAATTTTCATATTTTAAAGCACTGACTGATCTTAAGTAGATCTCCATTAAGACCTAAAGAAACTGGGTGACCGTTTTGTCCTAGGATGAATTCATTTATGTGTGCACATGATCGACCACGCATTCAGAAGTCGAACCCAAAACCTTTGGTCCTTTTAAAGCAATGAATGATGGTATTGAATTGACTGAAGTTAGAAATATATCCTTCAGTTAATCGTTATTAGGTTTTTACACTTTGAGATAGTGAGAAAGATTTATATCTCTGATAGATAACTTAAATAGAGTTTTGTTCTATGATCTGGATGGTTTGATCATATAGCTTTTATTGTTCTTATAAACAACATAATCATCAAGAATCAAAAGGAGAAATACAATCATAGTAAAGACAGATTAAAGATCTACAGTAATCAATCAAGATCAACGTTGACAGGACAATTTGTGAGTCATATATGTAGAGAAATTCGAACATTTTACTTCAACTTGAAGTTTATACTGATGATATTATTCAGGTGAACAACGAAAGTTTAAAGGTTTGAATAATTTTTGAATAACAGCTGTCTACGCAAAATACTTCGGATCCATTGGCCGGACACTATTAGCAACAACCTACTATGGCAGAGAACAAACCAGATCCCAGTGGAGGAAGAAGTCAAGAAGAAGGGCTGGAAGTGGTTAGGACACACATTGAGGAAAACATCTAACTGCGTCACAAGGTAAGCCCTCATCACTTGGTATCCTCAAGGTCAAAGGAGAAGAGGAAGATCAAAGGACACATTACGCCGGGAAATGGAGCTAGACATGGGGAAATGAACAGGAATTCGATGAAACTAGAAAAGAAGGCCCAGGACATAGTGGTTTGGAGAATGCTGGTCTGCGGCCTTTGCTCCATTAGGAGTGACAGGCAAAAGTAAGTAAGTAATTAAGAACAATGAAAGTTTCATAACCAAACCATTCAATTTAGAAAACAAAACTCTATCTACATTTTACCCTCTTATTATTATTCATTATATTTAAATGAATTTCAGCTGCATTAAATATGTATGGCAAGAAATTAACATCATATGAAAAGGAGGAAATATTGAACTTTAACAAAATCTGGTATCTTGGTTTATCTGCACAAAAAATCGATGCAATTCAAGGATCTCCAAGTAATCATGGTTATGATGATGAAACTGGTGGTTATTTAAAAGTATGTCATGTAATATAGATTATTTATATATATAATATTTGTAACTATCTAATTATCTTAACTCTAAGGGGACATTGAAATTTAGGAAAGTGACATAGACCGGAGTGTTCTGGCAGGAAGGCGTTGGGCTACAGCAGGTGTTGTCAACGAGAGGAGCAATGAGATGTGAGGCTGCTGAGCGGACATCGGATGTAGATGGCTCAGCATGTCGACGGAGCTATGAATGTCAGCGGACCGTAGACTCAACATTTTGGCGGATAGCGTAGCACAGACAACAGAGAAGAAGAAAGTTGCACGGCGAACAGAACCACCACAAGAATGACTGTTTTAAAGTGGGGACGAGTGTTTTGTGTGTTACTGATGTCGACAGACATAATTAGTGTGTATCGTCAATCGAAAGTGAAATACCTGGAGGCAGAAAGTTAAGAAGACCGAAGGAAAGTGAACGAGAACAGTGAATGACTGCTATCGAGACGAATGAATAATGAACTCTGAGATAATTGATTTACATTTTGAAAATGAAGTATTTACTGTATGGTTCTCAGATTTTACTAAGATATTCTGTCATCTTGTGTTCTCATTCAATACAGTAAAGCTTTAGTGAAACACTGAATTTGGATCATGGGAATCATTCTATACCGAAATATCAACCAAACATTATTGTGATAAACTCAATTTGAATAAATGTGTAATTATATTGAAATAGATCCACTGTTGTCCTATTGTAGTGAAGGACATTTTGAAGACATTCTGTTCACGACTAATATCGTCTACTACTTATGTCAATATAAGTAGCACACATCATACTCGTCCCCCTTCTAAAGCAGTCGTTCTTGCGGTGGTTCACGCTCGCCGTGCCACATTCTTCGTTTCTGCAGTCTGTGATACGCTCTCCGTCAAAATGTCGAGTCTGCGGCGCACTGAGCTCCGACGACCTGCTGGGTCAACAACATCCGACATCCAACCGGGCACCTGAAACGCTTAACACCCGTACTCCATCGGCATGCTGAGCCATCTACATCCGATGACCGCCCAGCAGCCGCACGTCCCACCGTTCTTCTCCGTCGACAGCACCCGCTTGAGCCAACGCCATCCCGTCAGAGCACTTCACTCAACGCCACCCTCCCCCACCAGACTACCCCAACTAGCATCTCAGCTCCAGGCCCGCAACGGCGTCAGCAGAACAGTACCTCTCCCCTCCTGTAGGCAGCGACACAGTTGAGGACAACCGAATTACATTTTGGCACAAAATTACAGAGTTACTTGGTAAAATAGAAAAACCATACTATAATACTTAATTTGCAAAATGTTCAATAATTATCTCGAACTTCATTGTTCTTGTATTTCTATACTAATTGCTTTCTATTCCTTCTCTTCCTTCCTTGATCTTCCCCATCTTCTGCCGCCAGACATTACATTTTTGACTCGCGCCATCTACTACTTATATCAATATAAGTAGCACGCACCACACTATCTGCTGTGATGTGCGGTATTCGAAAACTGATAATCACTAACCACCAACCACCCCTCACCAACTGATTACGTGGATGAGAACACAAGACTGAACGAGAAAATGCAATTGACTACTAGATAAAATGCACATATACTCATCCATATACATGTACCAGTCTATCCTTAGGAAATTGTCCCATTTTGACCTCAATGTCGTTCATGTGACCTTTAAATCATTTCTAATTGCTATGGATTGACGTTTTCCACTAGGCTACTTCTTATTGTCATTCCATATCACTATTATCAATTGTTCTCAAATCACTAATTTCCATATGACAAATCAATATAGTTTAATGAAGTAAAGTACATGATGAAATCAATATATTCGTGACTTATTGATCGGACGACCTTTGTCGATCTATTATTTGATGGATCAAACTTATTAATTCATTCAAGTGTTAACTTTTCATTTTGTTAAATGTATAAATAACTAATGTGGACTTGATTTAGAAACACTTCGTATTACATTCAGTATCGTACTATCATCAGTATAGAGTTGTGGAGATTATTAGGTTTTTGATTGAGATCATGAACCGATTGATATTAGACCACTATTGAAAACCTGGAAGCACTGGACGGCCGTTTCGTCCTATTGTGGGGCACCTCAGAAGTGTGCATCCACGATCCCGCTCACGGGATTCGAACCCAAGGCCTTCTGTTATGCGTGCGGACGCTTAACCTCTAGACCACTGATTGAGCATCCAGCGGTGTTAATGTCTAACTTCAACTAATCCACGAAATTGGGCGACACATTCACCATTGTCTTCAGTGAGTTGCTATCTTACAGCAGACCTGGTTGAACTCAACTGGTCACTACTTCTCACTAGAACTCCAGGATATACCTCGTGAAGCCAGTCACTAGTGAGCATATGTTGAGCATATGTTTGGTGGTCTAGCTTCAACTGACTCATGATCTTAACCATTGAAATTACTACAATCTCCACAAAACCCATATGAGACATTTGTTTGTTTGATTTGAGTGATACTGGAGTGAAAAAAACGATAATGAAATGACTGAAAACGCTATATATATGCTTTCCGGATTGTTTAGAAGCTGCTTCATACAGGTTGTATCCTATTTTTACTCATGGTTCTTCCTTCATACTTAGAAAGATGAGATAGTAAAAACATTGCTGGTTATAAATTGATAACAGTTAAGACAACGTTGATGACCCATAAATCCAATTATGGAATGCAGTAATCCTCATCTTATTATTCTACTCCGAAACTTATCCTATCTTTATAATGACAAGGTCAGCTAGTGTAAACATTAATGGACAATAGTTCGATCTCTGTATCAACACGTATTGATTTTCAAGCATTTCAGATTCTGGGGATTCTGTATGTCTATCAAAGTTTGGTGATATAGCGGATGGATTTAAATGTTTCTTTCTGTGAAGTACTGAGCTACGACGTTGATGCGGTAATAAGGCTGATCTGAGTGACTGATTTTATGATACCACTAGATTGGATACCTAAACGACCCTCTATACGAAAACAGAATCAGATTATATCAGATATGCGATTCACGACTACAATAATAAATCAGAGTAACGCTAGACAATACTCCATTAAACACAATTACAAGTAGTCATTCTCAATGAGGCCAGACTAGAAACCAATATGAAGTAAAGAAATCACATATTTAAAGGTGATTAAGTTGAATGCCTGTTTGTTCACATTAAGTGACTAATCATATTTACTTTCACTTCCAACCATAACTTGAATGATATTCAAGTTGAAACTTTTCTAAGAAGAAGTGAAATTGTTATGTTGACTACTTTTATATCTGAGTGATTTGATTGATATCACCTGGTAAGTTTTTCAATCAGTATTTCGATAATAGTTCTTCCAACCCGTATCCACTATTCATCCTTCAGCCCAGTTCCTCGAGCCTTGATCAGTGATGATTTACCTTGGACTAACGTAGACTTCACTCCTATTGACCCATAGATACGCACACTTTTCATTCCAAGCTTTAAGGAGATACCCGCTAAGCTTCCATATTATAGTTCAACCGAATAGAACTAATGTTTTCAAATCAACATTATTAATAGACTTGTGAGAATAACCTGACAGTTCGATGAGAAAATTACCATGCACTGTAGAATAAGGCTTGAGATTATCAATCTTGAATTGCTTAACACACATTATTCAGAGATGAAATAAGTATGAAATCAGTTTAAAATTATTGTCAGTTGATTGACAGTAACCCTAGAAACGTTACAGGCGAAGTTTAGTACGTAAGTGTTATGAATCTTATTTTTCACAACAGTGAAAGTTATTTAATGTCAGGAAACACGGGACAAGTGTTTTATCCTACTACGAAACTCCTCATCAATATACATACACACAAACATACGAAGAATTGAATAAGGACATCTAAAGCTCGACCATTGTTGATAACCTGATGTGGTGGTCCGGCTTTCTTATCGTGATGAACCAATCGAGCTATACTGGCTGGAACAACCGTTCTTCAAGGTCGTACCATATCAGATAGGTCGGTTGAAGAGCGGTAAGACTAAAAGCAGCGAACCCAAGATCCGGAGGCGAAGTCGTGCTGCTGACTGAACAGAGGTGTAACGGCAGTAAGATGTTTCCTTCAGACAACCGGTATGGCAGCGATGCTGCCTTCCCACAAGGAGGGTGCGGTTAGAAAAAGTCTACCCTAAAAATGCACACCTCGCCTTATCCCACGGATATCCGTCTCCGGCGGTAAGGTCTCAACAAATACAGAGCTAACCTAAAAATTACTCATGAAAAGGTCGTATGTAACCGACCTCAAGTAGTTGTCCCTTGGGCATTGCTGTAACACTTTCAGATCACCAAGACCACCTCTAATCCAATGTCCTTTTGAGGTACCTCCAGAAGCATCCTTCCACGGTGTGGGCAACCGAGAAGTGATAACCGCCCTCATACTTCTAACAGCACTCAAGACCACTGAAAGTTTAATCTTTAAACTATTAAATCCATATCTAATGCTTTAAGTTTTCTGAACAATAGTCTCACATACTATATGATTCTATCATATTGTAATTAACTCTTGTTTGTAATATATATATATATTTCTCTCTTTCAGATAACCCATGATCATATCGCTTATAGATTTCAATCATTGGAAACTTTGGGTAAAGGTTCATTTGGTCGAGTGATACGAGCTATTGATCATAAATCAGGGTTTCCAGTTGCAATAAAAATTATTCGAAATAAAAAACGGTAAGATACTTAATGTGATAAAAGTAATGCGATAAAATAATTTGTCCATCTTGAAAGAATCCTATGTGATAAGTTCACTTTCAGAATAGTACAATCGTACAGATATATTGACAAACTAATAATCAAGTTACCTGCTCATGTAGAGCTAAATAGGTAGTTCAATCGTCAAGGCTACTATCACAACACATTCGGTAGTATCCAACAGCATGGTTTAACAAATGTCAATTATATAGTCGACTCTTCAATATATATTAGACATGGAACATTCAACGTCCACCTTATCCTTTGACATCATTTACAGAATGCAGTCAAATATACTTTAGATCACTAACGCAGATGATCTATGTCGAATGTTTGGGGGCCTACTCAAGTTAGACGGAAATGGTGTGACTAAAAGCTAATTTCAAAGTAACACCTCGTGATCAACATCTGACATGGATTACCTCTTCGTCGTATCAAAGTACGATGGCTGCTTTCAAGATCGTATAACACGAAAAACGTCATTACAGCAATGTGTTAGTAAAGGTAGGTACAAGGAATCAGTTGCAACCACCACCTCATGGGCCAGTCCATGGTGTGTAATTAATTGATGCGTGTTGGTTGTCCTTGACCTTGACACAAATCAACGATCTGTTCAATATTCAGTGATCCAACTACCGGATCATTTGGCTAAGGCTCAATAACATTTCACTGACCCTACAATACCAACCTATTTTACATCAAATAAGCTTTGGTCAACTGTAATTTCAGACTTTCGTTGAGCATACAACAAGGATTTGTCAGATTCCTCTCTCCTACATTTGTAAATGAGGACCGTGATTTACAGAAGAATTTGTGTTATCTGTTTTCCAATGTTTAGTACGTGTGAAACATCAAGCATTTTCCAACAGTTCTATGTTTATTTGGTTGGTGTGTAGCGTGGCGTCGAGTCCCAATTATCTATGAACACCGCTACCAAGAAACACGTGCCAAATGACTCCAAAAAATCCCCCGGAAGCCAAATATCAGAAGACAGTTAATGGATCAAGTCGAGATATATTTGCTGGCGATCTCGTGGTATCGAAAGGATACCGAGATCGTGCCAGGATACAAGCTTGGTTACAGAACGTAACCGAATTTGCGCGAAGTCACAATCAAAGTGTAAGAATTATGGATGCTTTTTAGCACAGTTAGACAAAAGCACATTAAAACAGTCACTGGTACAATTAGCTATAATAATAATTTTTTTCAATAAACCAATCGTGTTCTCGTGATAAAAGTGAGTTACTACAGGTGTATGCAGAATGTAAGAGCATAATTTTCACTAGAGACTTCATTCTATGCAGGGATTTTCTATGCATTGGTGTCTTTCATTTCGTGTATTGGGATTCGTTTCGTTGATCGTTCATGGTAGACGGATCTGTGGAAACCTGCAAGTGTTTGGGATTAAATTTTCAAGTTAAAATCATACTCCAACATACAAGACTCATCCATTAAATGATCGAGAGAACACTTGATAATACTACCATACTGAAGACTTATTGAAGATTTTGAGATGGATGGATGAATTCACACTGTCTTACTACATACAATTTATTATGTTTATTATCAGAGTTGATGTTTCCACTTAGATTTCTTGACTACTACTATTGACATAACTTTGTCATTACAACAACAACAATACTCCCAGTTACACCTTTCCCTTCTCATACTACTTTAACGACTTACCTTAACAACTCTATTTATCCATATAACGTTGTGGAGACTGTTAAATTTTATTGAAATGACTAACCGATCAAAATCGAGATGTTAGGCATTTGCATACGTGACTGAAGATCATTGGTTCAACTCCTGATTATGGGTTGTGGATGCGTACTGCTAAGCAATCCCATACAATGGTGAAATAGTTGTCCAACGATTATCTTACTTAAATCGTTTAGTCATTTCAATGAATTTTATTGATCTCCACAAGTCCATACCTATTAGATTGTAATTGTTTTAATGATGTCACTAAAGGTTAATATAAAGTTTTAAAGGTAAAGCTTTCTTTCTCTCTTCAAGATCATAAATGTCTAGGATTGAGTCTTCTGTGTGGTCGGGAATACACACTGTTGACTAACTTCATACAATGACAAGTTAAATATTCAATACTTCCCTGCTTTCAATTGCTATGGGTTCATAACCTTATGGAAACTTCTTTGACACTATTGTGTACCTGAGAATTCATACGATGAACATTTGAGGGAAAGCACGGAATACAACGAACAACTGGGAATCATTTAGATTTGGAATTCGCAGATGGCCTGACCCTTCTATCCCATACACATCAACAAGTGCATATGAAGACAACTAGTGTGGCAGCAACTTTTGCATCTGTAGGCCTCAACATACGCAAAGAGAAAGCAAGATCCTTAAACACTATTCGGACAACACACAATCAATCACAATTAATAGAGAAACTGGAAGATGTGGAATCTTTCACGTATCTGGGTAGCATAACTGATGAACAAGGGTGATCCGATACAGATGTAAATGTAAGGATTAGTAAAGCAAGGACAGCATTCCGACAATTGAAGAACACGTGAAACTCATAACAATTGTCAACCAATATCAAAGTCAGAATCTTCAATACCAACGTCAAGATAGTTCTACTGTACGGAGCTGAAAGTTCGAGAACTACCATAACCATCATCAAGAAGGTAAAAATATTTCCAAACAATTGTTTACGTAAGATACTGAACGTTCGTTGGCCGGATGCCATTAGCAACAGCCTACTGTAGGAGAGAACAAACCAACTCTCAGCTAAAGAGGGAATTAGAAAAAGACGTAGGAATTGGATAGAAAATAGATTACGGAGATCACCAAACCGAATCACAAGGAATATGCCAACTTGGAATCGTGAAGGGAAACAGAAAAGAGGAAGACCGAAGAACACACTACGTCAAGAATAGGAAGAAGACATGAAACGAATGAGTGGCAACTGGAAATAACTGTAAAGGATTGTCCAGTACAAAGTTGAACGGAGAATTCTTTTGGGCGGTCTATACTCCTTCACAATGGTTAACAGGAGTAAGTAAGTAATAATATAAACCATACAATTCAATAATTATCTCGAATCCACTCCTTACTGCTGATATATTCATTCTGATGTTTTGTTTTATTATTTAGATTTCATCAGCAAGCTCAAGTGGAAGTAGCCATTTTAGAGAATTTAAAAAAAGCTGATCATAAAAATATTCATAATATTATACATATTAGAGATCATTTTACATTTCGAAATCATTTGTGCATTGTTTTCGACTTATTAGGGTAAGTTATTGGTCAACTTGTCTATAACATTTTTCTTTGTATGTATATGTGTGTGAGAGAGTTTATTAAACGGTTAGAAGTTTCTGAGATATTGAAGTTCTAGTGAGAAGCCGCAATCAGTGGAGTTCAACTAGGTCTTTTATGAGATAGTAACTCATTGAAGACAATGATTGACGGTGGTGTAGTTTCGTGGATTGGTTGAAGCTAGACATTAACACCGTTGATTTCCGACTCAGTAGTCCGGAGTTCAAGCGTTTGCACGCAAAACCGAATGTCCTGGGTTGGAGTCCTGCTTGGGGAATCGTGGATGCACACTACTGAGAAGTTCCATACTAGGACGAAAGGCCCGTTCAGTGCTTCCAGGTTTCCCATAGTGGTCTAGCTTTAATTGACTCATAAATTCAACTATTAAATTACTAGAATCTCCACAAAACCCCCTTCTGTTACTGGAGTATGTTTGTAGCTCAGAATAAAGATTTCGAGAGTGCTTCATTCCCTGAACAGGATGGTTTGGTCGTGAATCTTACCCTGTTCCTCTAGATAATATAATCAGCATACACTTCTATAAGAAGTGAGTAATTAGAATTTCTCTATCATTGACGGATTGTTTGTATTCTGCCTGACCATAATTGTGTATGGCCGTTGTGCACGCGTATGTCTCAATAATTGTCGCCTCTGACCTCATCTGTTACCTTGGCGTGTTTTTAATCTTTTTCCTTATTAGTTGATAGATCAGGTCAACGTCAATATATCTATTGATTGCTGCACTACCAAAGTCTTACGCTTCAAAGAATCTTTTAACTTTCCTTGAGTTATCATCAAATAAGAGATAAAACGGTCTAGTTGGCTTCATGGTCTAGATGATGTATATATATGTCTCGATGTTGATATTCATATTGGGACTCGGATTCGGTATTTTTCACTTCATAAGCTTAACGTTGTGATTTTATAAAGCCATTAACTTGTTCCACACATATGATGTTTAAGTTGCTATTTCCCAGGGTTTGAGTTATCTCCGTTGTTGATTGTAGCAGTAAATAAATCCCCAAAATAAATAGCTCTGTAAGTTTTCGACATTGGATTATGACCACATTCGTTTTTATGGACTCACCTAGCTGAAGACGCTTGGTCATGCATCCGCACCAGATCACGAGTGGGAACGCCGTGCTCAACAGCCCCTGCAATCGTTAGCCAGATTAGATCAGACGGTCCTCAATATCTTGATAGCCTATCAAATATATCTTCGAACCTTCTTGCTTCCGGTCTTTGATTTCACTTGGTGGGTACGATTCATATTCGAAGGTGTTACTGGTTAAAGCCTTGTCAAACTCCGAATACCTGTGGCATCTTCATGATAATCAGGATTGAATTTTTGATCTCCACTTCCGGTGGGGATTTCTTCAATATCATCCTAAATATTAACAGCGGGATTATAGAAACATTGGCGAAGAAATATTCTAGTTTTATACTTAACTTAATGAACACACATATTTGACCATTTAGAAGATCGAACCTAGTAATGACTACCGTAACATTCCATCTTCGAAATGTAAATGAATAATTCCTTAGAACTACTTAGTGTTTCCTTGTCAGTCATGATATTTTAATAAGAGCTCGTTCAGAAATACAAACTTGACTTTGAGATGGTGAAGAAAATTTGTAGCTCAGGTGGATGATTTCAATGAAGTTTTGTTCTCTCAGCTGGATGATGTTTATCATTCAGTAGAACGATGAAAGCTCCATGACTAAACCATCCAGCTCAGAGAACAAAACTTCATCATAAACTTGACTTTCTATTCATTCATTAACTGAAACTAGAGTATCACTAGAAACTAGGAAATACTGAATATCTTCTTCATCTTAATAGAAAACTCTTCAAATATTTATATCTTAAATTCAACCAGAGATTAAATACAGAAGTTTCGAGTGGTAACTTTAGATTAATGAAGTGAACTTTAATCCCATACTTGTTTGACTTGAATTAACTGAAGATATTGCGTAACCACTTTTCACTGCCTCATACTCTACATGGGTGAACATTGTTCGTTTGATCTTCAGTAAAGTAGTACTATACATCATTTTATATATTTGTAGGTGTCATTACCAAGGTTTGATTTGATCATTTCGAATAAATTGAGCATTGGGTTGATTGTTATAAATAATAATAATATACTTGTAATATCCCAATGAGTAGAAAATTGGATTTTCTGACGTTTCGTGACTTAGTGTAAGTCACTTCTTCAGAGTAAATAAATAACCAAATTAAATTAATCCAAGTTTAAATAGTACAACGGAACAATGCAAGAATAATATTTGATCAATCAAAAAACAGGTCTGAACAAGTTGATGTCATGTCATTTCTGTCAAGGTGATTCATAAGTGATCTGTATGTAAATTTGTGTATGTATGTGTGTGTGCATTGTTTAAGAATGAAAACTTCTGTGACCTTTATGGTAAGAAAGGATAGAGTTTAAATTTGTAATATGAAAGTGTGAAATTGTAAATACGATCAGACTGAATGGTTAGGATAGATGGTCCAAGTAGGATGTATGGTAAGGCCTTCTTTTCTATTGAGAGAAGTAGGATTCAGCATTATATGGAATGCCTCAGCTACCCTCCTTTCTTTGTAGTTGGAAAAGCCTTTTTGTAATATTTTGATATTTTTAAAATCGATTTGGTGGTTGTTGAAAATGGCATGAACTGCTATTGCCGATTTAATTTGAAGTTGGTTCAATTCTACAGGATTGTTAGGAGGTTTCTTTGTGTACCTAATATGTTCTTTGGCTCTATTCACGATTTCGCGGGATGACTCTCCAATATAATAGGCATCACAATCAATACAACCTAATTTGTAGACGCAGTTCTGTGTGGACATGAAAGGGATTTTGTCTTCCAGGCGAACTAAAGTATTACGTAGTGTGTCCGTTGTTTTGTAATACACTTTGATTCTGTGGAGTTTTAAGATTCTTTGGATTTCTTCTGTTGTACCATGACGGTATGGTAGAACTACAGTACCAATCCATGGCATTTCATTCGAATCATTATTATAATGTAATAAACTGTTTTGTTTTAATATGCTTCTAATAATCTTCATAGGAAAATTATTAAAATTGTAAGATGCTAACTATATTCATTTGTTCTTTTTGTTTGTCTTCCTCTGATGTGATGATCTTGTTAGCTCTTCTAAAAAGATTTAAGGCTAGCGAGATCTTTGCACTGAAAGGATGTGCTGAATGGAAGTCAATATAACGATTTGAATGTGTCGGTTTTCGGTAAATGGTTAGAGCCTCGGACATTCTCTTTTGCCCTCTCAATTTCGTAAACAACACCCCTTTTGCGAGAAGGTAGTGAGTGGGACTTCTCTGTCAGTGGTTGTATACGCGATGACATGTGAGAGCATTTCTAAAGGGAGAGATGACTCTCTTTACCTTCGGCCATACCAAGGTATTTTGGGTAGCATAACATAACAATAGATTTGTAATTGAATAACTCATAGCCTTTATCATAATTCATTCATATTAAGTAAACTAATTTCTCTTATGTATTATTTATCTTTTGAACATTTATACAGTTCAAATTTATATGATCTTTTAAGAAAAAATGATTTTCGTGGTTTCACAATTCATTCATTGAAAAAAATCACAATTAAATTACTCAATTGTTTGTGTTTATTAAGAAAACAAGGTATTATACATTGTGATTTGAAACCAGTAAGTTAATACTGTTACAATTGTGTTATTATTTATCTAATTTCAATGTTTATGTTGTAATAGTTGAGACAATGAGTTAATTGAAACTAGATTGCTATGGAAAATCTGGAATTACTGAACGGTCATTTCATCCTATTGTGGAATCCCTGACAGTGGGCATCCACGCAGGATTCGAACCTAGGACGTATCAGCCCTTGTAACCTTATGAATAAGTAAATTACTTAAAACGTTTTATACTACTTAAAAATTTAAAAAGTACCTTAACGCGTTTGGCAAAAATATTTGACTACTTTTTGACAATTTCCTTAGAATTCCTTAGAAAATAGTAATAATGAATGTTAATTTGTTTATTTTATCGAAATTATGTGTTAAAATATATAAGAGAAACTTCATAGGTTAATGAAAACCCTTATCCCTAGGCGTTTAGTTGATTATGATACGTTCAAACCGAAGATTTCTTTACTTCCAACTTCTTGACACATTAAAAAAAGAGTAGACTTTAATCAATAATGTATGGAAACATATATGTTGTGACTAAACTTATCAACCTACTTGTTAATATAAAAGAATTCCATTGAATTTCTCCCGTATAATTATGGAATATTTCTGGGGTTTTTTCACGGGTTAATTATTTCTCCATTCAGATTTGTCATATATATCTCAGGCATCCGTTAAGATACATTCTAAACAGGAAGCTTTGACCAGCGAAGTTTAGCTATATCGAGTTGGAAAACAGTCATTCATCAAAGTCTATAAAAGATGGTTATTCAGTAGTGCCATGTGATTAAACTAGATATGTTGTAACCACACTGGACACTACCAAAGTGATCTGAAGATCGAACACTCTGAAAGAGACCTGAATGTCATAGATTCGATTCTTGGTGACGTTATAAATGCTCACTGCTCGAAGGACAAAACAAATACCCATAAAAATAAACGGGCTTAGATAGAATACTGATGTCTGTGAGATATCGTATTACTGACATGTTTAAATTATAAATCTTTCAAATATTTGGATAAAACATGATACCATAGAATATTCATTTTGTGATAACTATTCCTTTTCTTCATCAGTAACAATGTAAGATATCTTCGTAGGTATCAATGGCAAAGTAGAACTTGATAGTTTCCAATAAACTGAGCCACTTCTCTAGAATAGTGACTTACATTAAGTCACAAAATATCAGAAATACAATTTTTCCTACTTAATGGGATTGATGTGTGGGGGAGGATGATAGTGATTGATTGTTTGCTTTGTCAGACTAATAAGATAGTCTAACAGGTACTAGATGAGTTCTACATTCTTATGCCCTTATTATTACTATGATTGTTGACGGATTGTTGTCGGTTTTTGGTGTGGCTAATCATGTGTTCTTGAACTAAGTTGTATTGAAGTTCTGTAGAATATAAACAGTAGTATGCTGGGCAGTCCCATATTAGAATGAGACGAAACTACCGTTCAGTGATTCCGGGTTTTTCATGATGATCTAGATTTAATTGACTTATGAACTTAACTATTAAATTACAGAAATCTTCAGTAAATCTCCTTTCTCTGATAATAATCTGCAATGCTTTAATGCATAAATAAGCAGCTTAGTCCTATTCAAGTATCTTCAATAACTATGTGTATACATCCACTTAGTTCGAGTCCTGTAGTGAACATCAACACTTGGATGCAGGTATATCAAACTAACAAGTCCCAAATAAGATAAAACGTGGGTACTGAATTCCACTGTTAGCCGCCATTCATCTTTACTTATAAAGTATGTATATACAGTTAATGACTATGCATTTATTGATTACAAGGCTTATTTCTGATCAATATAAATTCAGTCATAGTTGAGCACATACTAATACCAACTGAAGAATCTTTCAAATGACAAATTGTAATAGTAAGCTTTTTGTGAATAATTATTGTCGTATACGAAAAGGATTATGATGTAACCAACTAGTAATCTTCAAGCTATTCAAGAGGTGACCCCTCCTCAAAGAAAACTGTGTTCAGATCAAATATTATAGAATTGTCCTCGATTCACATTATCGATGATTATTTGATATACAACATTCTTGAATGTTGTTGATAAAAGTTTCCCTGATAACTCCTTTTCATGATTATTAAGCAACTTAATTCAAAGACAGTTTTGTCATGCAACTATATATAACTTTTGTTATATGTTGAAGCTTAGATTCTTAATATACCGCGTATGACATGAGCATTCGAACTCTAGGACCTTCCCAAGTTGCAAATGACAAGACAGAAGAAGACTGGAGAATGTATTCGTTGGGCAAGAATCAAAATGTACAGAATATCATGGGTATTTATAGATATTAGCATTTGTTCTATCAACATTACAATTCAACTAATCCGCAAAGAGGCATATTATGCTATTGACCAATAATAGCATGCTATCACGTAGCTTCTATGATTTTGAGATGGTGAAGAAAATTTGTAGCTGGATGGTGGATGATTTTGATGGAGTTTTGTTCGCTGAGCTGGATGGTATAGTCGTGGAGCTTTCATTGTTCTTCTGAACGACATTATCAGCACAAACTTCAAGTAGAAATGAACTTTTCGAATTTCTCCACAAGCTGTGAATCACATATGAAAAAATGTGAACACTTCACTTCTCCTTGAAGTTTGTGCTGATGACTTCTTTCAAAAGAACAATAAAAGCTCCATGACTAAACTATCCAGGTCAGAGAACGAAATTGCATAGCTTCATTGCGTTCTGATTAGATGAAACTTATCGACTTTTCTAGGGCTTCTGCATCCTCCGTCGTACTTCTTGGAAACCATCTCAACAACTTTATTAACATTGAAATGAAATCTTGGTCTGATCATTTAAGAATTTTGTTTAATAATCAATCATTTTTCTATTTATTGATTATTTTAGGAAAATATTCTTATTGGTTTAAATAATCCATCAGAATTAAAAGTTATTGATTTTGGTTCAAGTTGTTTTGTGAATCAAAAGAGTAAGTCAAAAAAAATTGACTGATTGTTGCTATGATTCATTTTGTGATGATAGAAATTATGAAATGATTTAGTATCAGAAGGGGTTTTGTTGAGACTGTAGTAATTTCAATAGTTCAGATCATGAGTCAATTGAAGCTAGACCACCATGGAAAATCTGGAGTCACTGGACGGTCGTTCTGTCATATGGTGGGACTCCTCAGGAGTGCTCACCCACGAGATGGCCTCGCGGGATTCAAACCCAGGGCATATCACTCTCACGCTAGGCGCCTAACCAACTAGACCACTGAGCCGGCATCTATTGGTGTTAATGCTTAACTTCAACTAATCCTTCTGATACTAATCAACATATGCTCACTAGTGACTGGCTTCAAGAGATATATCCTGAAGTTCTAGTGAGAAGCAGTGACCAGTGGAGTTCAACCGGGTCAGTTGTGAGGTAGTAACTCACTGATGACAATAGTGGATGTGTCGCTCAATTTCGTCTCACAACAGGACGAAACGGCTGTCCAGTGGTTCCAGGTTTTCCATGGTGGTCTAGTTTCAATTGACTCATGATCTCAACTACTGAAATGATTTAGCATATTCTATTATGAATATAAGTTCTTTATTAATTTGGATAAAGTGTCACATATCACATGTAAACATTTCAACAATAACCCATCATCATAAAGAAGCATAGGAAAGAAGTAGTGAAGGGAACTTGATATTCAAGGTAACAAAACTGAAATAGTACTATAAAGAATGAGAACACAAATGGAGGCAATCGAATGTATTTTAGTACATTATAGAACATCTTACTGAAATCTGAGAACCATACAGTAAGTATATCATTCTGCAAAATGTCAATCAATTGTCTCAGACTTCATTGTTCCTTCATTTCCACACCAACCACTTTTGTTCTCGTTCTCTTCTCTTTGATCTTCCTGATCTGCAGCCGCCAAACATTTCATTTTCGACTGGTGATGCATACTACTAAAAACTGTCGATATCAGTAGCACATAAAACACCATAGTTAAAACAAAGTGTTATTCCTGTTTAGTTCATTGACATATTATCCCCAACTAAAATTTGAAAATCTTAAATTTAAGTAAGCGTTACTAAGGTATTTAGAACTAGGATGGATTAACAATTCACTACTTATAAGTGTCTTTAGGTGTCTTTGAAGCATTGATTGTATATCCTGTAACCATCGAATAAGTAATTCAGTTGTTAGGAAACGAGTACTAGGTAATGATGGCGAATCGATTGATGAAATAGTGAAAGTTCGACAGTTGAGATGGCTGGAACATGTGATACTTATACCTAAACACTGACTGTCCCGACGTGAGATGTTTTATAATGTAGGAGTAAGTTGGAAGAAATCTAGGGGCAGCCAAATCCATGAATTCACTGACAAGTGGAATGATCCATGTTGGTGGGTGTAGATTACCTGGTTTGGATGCATGAGACGATAGCAACCGATAGTCAGAGATTTTGAATGTGACATGGGTCAACATAGTTTTCAATGGCGCAGATGCGTCCACTCTTTGTGTTCTCTCAAATTATAATCTTCTGAATTCTTCATGTCCCCTATTTTTTATCTTTCCAAAATTATTTCACTGGATTATACTTTTTGAATAACATTTTCAAATCCTCATGGCGAGACTACAATTTATGGATGAACCAATCGTATTAAAGATAGAAAATCTTGAATTTTGGCGCAAAATTCATCCATTTATTGGCCTAAATGACACTTTGGCATTTTAGCTGATGTCATTTCATGATGAAAATGTAAAAAAAAAACTAATTCCTAACCCTAACGTTCAAGTGTAAATCATAATCCTAGCTCTTTACACAAATCTATAATCCTCACTTAACCTTAGTTATTAATTGGCCATTCTAAGATCATTCTAGCATTGTTCAAAGCACGTTCATAAATTATAGTCTCATCGAATATACTGATTATGATTAGCTTTATTCAGACCCAGGCACAGAGTGGGTTGGATAATACTGGTCGGCTGCCTATGCTCTATTTGGGAGTAACAGGCATAAGTAAAAAAGTAAGTGAAGTAAGTATTATGTATTTAGTACAATATAGAATTCTAAGCACAAAGTATTTCAACAAATTTCCCATTTCTTATTTCTTCATCTATCCTAACGATAACATAATGAGTGATCGCCAGTCAGCAATCGACATCGGATTCATGTGTATACTTTTCGATGCATATTTCTAACAAATACGATGTCGCTGATTGAGCTATTTTGTAACTTGTACAATGGAAGATCGTCACTTCTCTCATATGTGGTGTTGATGTCAGGAACACGTAGTCTAGATATTCAAACAGGTCGTTCATAAATTATAGTCTCATCAATGACTTTATATATTGATAATTATTTATATGAAATTATCAATTATTCTTCATTAAAGTCATCATATTCATATGATCAGTGTTTGTTGAAGTTTTGCTCTCTGAGCTAGATGTTTTGGTCATGGAGCTTTCATCGTTCTTCTGAACGACATCATCAGCATAAACTTCAGGTAGAAGTGAAGTGTTCAAATTTCTCCACACATGTAGTTCACAGCTTGACCTGAACAGCTCGATGTTGATTGGTTCTTATTGAAGGCTCCACGACTAAACCATCCAGCTCAGAGAACAAAGCTTCATTAAAATCATCCACCCTCAAGCCACAAATCTTATCCACAATCAGTTTTTGTTTCAAACCAATCAAATCGACTAGATGAAGTGTGATCCTCATTGTTTTTTTAATTTTATATTTAACATTTTAGCCTATACGTATATTCAATCACGTTTTTATAGAGCACCAGAAATTATATTAGGTATATCTTATGGTCCACCAATTGATATGTGGAGTTTAGGTTGTATTCTACCTGAATTATATACAGGTAAGATTAAAACTGATGTAAATATGATTGAATCAATTGTGTGTTTTTCTTTAATCTCATATTGATACATCAAAAGAGATACTAACCTTACTTACTTACTTGTGCCTGTTACTCCTCGTGAAGGAGCATAGGCTGCACCACAGCACTCTCCAAAACCCATAAAGGAATGAATATAATTGATGCTTAATCGATAAACTAATCTTTTCGGTTTCCTTATTCAAAAATTCTGATACTCATATATTATTGCAATGAACACTTCAACATAAGCTTTAAATATTTATGTTCAACAGACACTATTAGTTTCTTCAGGGGAGATAACAATAATCCATATTCTTTGTACTTTACTGACAAACTTCATGGTAGAAGTAAAACTATTCTAATGACCTTGAGCGATTATAGTTTTGACATTGAGATTGACAAAACAATTACTTCCAAAGTTGAATTTACGAGTCAATCTAAGTTAAACCACCACTGACAACTTAGAAGCAGTAGATGGCTGTTTCGGTCTAGTATGGAACTCCTAAGTAGTACTCATCCACAATCCCGCATGCTAGAATCGAACCAAAGACCTCCGATCTCACTCGTGAACGCTTAAACTCTAGATCATTGAGCTGGCATCCAGCAGTGTTAATGTCTAACTTCGATCAATCCATCATCTTGTTAAACACTTCATCCATTGTCTGAGGTGGATAACTGTCTAATGTCCATCAAGCGGTAGAGCAACGTCGGAAGACGCAGTCCAATGCTAACCGGTGACCAATAATTGGTTCACACACCATTCATTCCCACATGATCCTGGAGACCATGTGAATCATTAGTTTGGAATAAGGGTTTCCCGACTACCCTAGATGGACCCTCCGTATCCATAAATCCGGTTAAAGCGCCAGACATTCGCATTTCGTCCTTTTAATTCCGTAAATAACACCCACACCGCGTGGAGGCGATGAGTAGGACTTCTCTGGCAGTAGCTTTATACGCGTGGGGTCATGTGAGAGCAGTTGGAGAGGGAGAGCTGACTCTCCCCATTCTCAGCCGTATCAGGGCATATGGGGGCCTTCGACCCAAAAAATAAATGCATCATATCTTGAAAATATGCTGATTTTTCTTTAATAAGTTTCGATCTGATTCATCAATAATAATGTACCTAGAGGTTGTTTTTGTTACAAAACGATCCCATTTCGAAACAAGATAGAGCTAAATAGCTGATCACTTGTATTATCGAACTCAGAAGTTAACACGCATGACTTAACCAGGAATAAGACCCAGATCTTTGAGGTCTTGGGACGAAAATGTAACTAATATAGTCACCGAGTCGATATTAAAAGATGCAATTTGAACTTCAGTCCATAAGTGATATAACAAGATGATCATTTAATCACATTCGTCGCAAATATTTCACTCCCAACATGCCTGAGCACCAGCCAAGACATTAGATATGAACTTCGGGATTCACTATTTAGCTAACTACTATAGTTCTAATTAAATAAAGTTTTGTAGAGGCAGGTGCATAGCGCTAAAGTGTCTAGTTCTAGAGTTAGATACTTATTCAGTGATCACTGATTTTCAAGAGTACTGCTACTTTAATTAATCTATGACAAATACAACCTAGAAACAAAGACCAATAACCCTAAATCCCCTTCAAACAAATAATCTACTTATATCAAATTTGTTAGTAACAATTTAATTACTAAGTTTATGGTTGGTATTACTGCGATTATTATTATTTCTTCCCCCCCCCCACCTCACCATTCATTTATAATCAGGTCGTCCATTATTTCCTGGAGAAAATGAAAATGAACAATTGGCTTGTATTATGGAAGTACTTGGTTTACCATCTGAATTACAACTTGAAAAAGCCAGTAGACGAAGAGTATTTTTCGGTAAGACAATTTCATTAATTTTTCAATGCTTTCAGTTGTGTTTTTATCTTAATCCTTTATTTCAGTTATACACATAGATACTTCCTCAGTATCATTTGGAATCGGTTCACAATTGATATTTATTAAACAAGTGATAGTTGGCTTAGTGGTTTAGATGTTAAGCGTTCGCGCGCGAGACTGAAGGCCTTGAGTTAGAAATACCTTAGCGGGATCATGGATGGGCACTGCAGAGTAATCCAAACAATAGGATGAAACGGCCGTCTGGTGCTTTCAGGTTTTCAATGGTGGTTCAACATCAATCGGTTCATGATCTCAATCAATCATCTCTACAACCCCATACTAATCATGATGTAATCTTAAGTGTATTACTGAAAATACATATATCTTAAACTGGTATATTCTATTGTTTACATACTTTACCTATGATGGTGGAGAAGATCTGTAGCTTAAGTGAATGATTTTGATCTAGTTTTGTTCTCTGAGCTGGATGGTTTCTGCTGATGATGTCGTTCAGAATAACTGTGAAAGCTCTATGCCCAAACCATCCAGCTCAGAGAGCACAACTTCATCAAAATACTTTAATTGTGTAGAATCGTGTTTAATTTATAGAAATATCTCAAACTTCAGTTACTCATCGAAAAAACGATGACCTTGTTTACAATCTCTGATAATGTTTATAGTACTATAGTAAACAAAGAATTTAATTGGGAGTAAAGAACTTTTTCTTTAACGTAAAATTGAAGAGCATCTTCTTAGAATATGGAAACCATACATTGAGTAGATCATTTGCACATCTTCCATCGATTGCCTCTTATAAGCTTCATCGTTATTTCAATACAATTACTCTTTATCCAAAAACACTAAGAGTTAAGACTCCAGACAATTCTATACGTTCACAAAAAGCAGCTATTACAGCTACTAGAGTATTCCTTAGAGAACGTATACATAAATCCACTTTAAACTTGGAATCCCTACGTTCACGTATAGCAAACATTGATAGTGCTTTATCACTAATTATACCACCAGAATTAAAAACAAATGTTAATGAATTTTTGAAACATAGAGATAACTTTTATAACCAAATCACAAAAAGACGTCAAATAAGAAAATTTGAACAAATGTTTAAACATTCGTCGAAATCCAACAATGATGAGATTAAAATTAAATCCAAGGAACTCGATATAAACAAAATAGTGGTAAATCTATCGGATAGACAGTTAAATCAACACGAACTTTCAATACTTAAAAAGGTCTCAATTTCAATATGAACAGAACACGGATTTCGGCTTCTGAAATTATTCCGTTGATCGAGCCTGCCTTAAACAATGTTCCGGATGATCAGGCAAATTCATTGAGGTTTAAAATCGCAGCTGTAATTTTGAATCAAAAACCTAATACGCCTAATATCTCTAAAGAAGAAACGTATGCCCTAAAACAGTTACGGAAAGACAGAAAAATTGTTATTATGAAAGCAGACAAGGGAAACACCACTGTTGTTATGAATAATTCTGACTATGAAAGAAAAGTCAATGAACATCTCAATAATGGACCGTATGAAAAAATCATGAAGAGCAAATGTAGAGCTACGTTAAATAAGTTGAAAGCTGAAACGGCCAAATTGTTACAGAATTTAAAGCCCAAACTAGGATCATCTTTATGGTTCTCTTTATATCCAAAAAGCAATAACCCGTGTAGATTTTATGGCCTACCAAAAATACACAAAACAGATGTACCACTAAGACCTGTGATTGATTACATTAATTCACCAACTTATAATCTTTCTAGATATTTGGCCAAAATTCTTAAACCATATGAAAGCGTAATAAAATATGGAATAAAAAATTCTAATGATTTCAAAAACATTGTCAGTAATATTCGGATAGAAGATGATGAAATAATGGCAAGTTTTGATGTTTGCTCATTGTTCACTAATGTTACTATTAAAAAAGCTTTAGATATTGTATATAATCTGTTAGATTCTGACATTGAACTTAAACAGCGTTGCCGTCTAGACCCAACAGACATTATTAGAGCGTTGGAGCTTTGCTTACATTCAACGGTTTTCATTTTTCGAGGAGTTTTGTACAGACAAACAGAAGGTGTGGCTATGGGATCACCTGTCTCTCCAATTGTGGCTAATTTATTCATGCATTCATTGGAAACAATTGCTATCTCAATGTGTTCCATTCCACCAAAAATTTGGGTAAGATACGTAGATGATACCTTTGTCATCATAAAACGAGATGGTTTAGACGAACTATTCCAACGGTTCAACAGCTTAGATGACAAAATCAAGTTTACTAAAGAGTTGGAATCGACTGAACGCAGATTACCGTTTCTAGACTGCCTGGTTGAAAGGAAGGATAATGATTTTTTAAAAATTAATATATTCCGTAAGCCTACATACTCAGGGAAATTTTTAGATTTTAAGTCTGCGCACCCACACGCGACCAAAGTGACAGTGGCCAAAAATTTGATCACCAGAGTCAAAAAACTTGTCACTGAACCAGATGATATAAAAATGGAAATGAATTTAGTTGTATCCACTCTATTAATGAATAATTATCCGAAAGGTTTTATTAAAAGAATAATTAAGAATGAAGAACGGAATGATATTTTTAAAAAAAGAGTTAAGCAAGATTGGATGAATACAGTAGTGATCCCATATCGTAAAGGTATCTCAGAAGACATCAGAAGGATTTTAATTCGTCAAAATATAAGAGTATTCTTTCGAACAAACAATACTCTAAGATCAAAACTAGTAAGAATCAAAGATCCAATACACAAGGATGATCAACAAAATTGTGTTTATGAAATCAAATGTAATGACTGTAATGCAACGTATGTAGGTGAAACATCAAGACAACTGAATGTGAGGGTGAAAGAACACAAACTGTGCTTAAAGCACATTCCTAAATCCTCAATTGATGTAAAAAAGCTTGAGAACAGATCAGCGATAGCATTACATTCAATTGAATCGGGTCATACAGTTGATTTCAATGGCACGAGAATCATTCAAAAAGGATTTAATTCTTACAAAGAACGCCTAACAGCTGAAGCCTTACATATATGGGCTAATTTAAACAATATTAATAGGAGAGATGGAATACAACTAGCTGCACCATGGCAACTAATAATTAATAAGTAAACCTGATCTCCTTTTTGCCATTTGATATATTTATGCCATAGTAACTAATTGATAGATAATACGTATAAACACATTCTGTTATCTTAACACGTTTTTGGTTCCATAACACATACAAAACAATTTGTCATAACCTTGAATTTACCTTATAATCCTTAAGTCATTCTATGGCCTAGGATAACATGACAATTTCTCTCCCCTTCATTATTTTCAAATGAACTTTTATTTTATTTGTTTGACCTTTATTATTTTTCATATAAACATGTCTCTTACACATTAATACAAATACCTATCTATAAAGAAATCCTTCACGTCGATTGGATGACTTATTCAGTGTACAGTAAACCGAAGAACCATGTACCTATTTATATTCGATAATTTTGTTGTTTGATTATATTTTCCTTGAAAAAGCTTGGACCAGATTGCCAGGCGAAACGTTGGATTTACTTAAAATTCATTCGCTAAGATTTTACAAATATATTCTTCCTTTTTAATGTCTCAAATTAACTCGGCGCCCAAATATTGTGAAACTATTCGTTCAAATTTAGACGAAAGTTCTTATTTAACAATTACTCTTTGTTTGTAGTCCTGTTGTCTTCAATTCAATCTTCTCAATCTTCTAATACCAGACATTCTACTTCTAATTGGTGTTACCTACTACTTATATCTGTCAATATAAGTAGCCTACACCGTCGTACTACATCATGAAAGATTTTTTGACAGTGTTTCACAGTGTTACTTATTGAAGTGGAGAATGGAGACATAAGACTTGATCGTGAAGATACATTCAAACTAAAGATGGCATTAAGTCATGAACTTTTATCAAATTAAATATAACGTTTTATTGCTGAATTAACATCCAATAATCTACATTTGCAAACTCAGTATTTGAAACTCGATTTGGTGTAAGGTAAATGATGTGCATATTGTTGATTAGTTCGCTCCTAAATGCCCTTGTACGGCCGAGAGTGGGGAACGTCAACTGTCCCTCTCAAAATGCTCTTACATGGCCACGCGTATACAGCCATTGTCAGGGAAGTCCTGCTCACTGCCTTCTCGCAGCATTACTGTTGTTTACATAATTAAGAGGACGAAAACAGGGTTGGTTTACACGAACAGTCCACTTATGGGAGTTGGAAAACTGTGATCCCATATCAATGGTGAACTTGGGATCCAGTATTCTGAAGGAACAAATGGTGTATGAACCAATCGTCGATCACCGTCTAGCATGGGACTGTATCTCCAGACGTTGCTCCACTAACTTGTGGGTCAGAGCTTTAGGTCGAAGGCTCCAGGTGTGGCCCTCTAAGAAAACCACCTGCTTCGGTTTGGGAACCCGGATAGTATCCCAGCCCTCACACAAGTCGAATGACGAATTGTGGCGCGTATCTATTTGGTGCTTCATTGTATCAATGTCTATGTGTTTAAATAAATAGAATAAAAATGTTGATTGTACAACTAAAAGTCATTGTCTAAGTGACATTTTAATTCAGTTTAACCTTCCTTTCACCTTAAGATCTTATTTCAACTGATTCGGTTATGATTAAGATCATGAATCGATGAATGCTAAACTATCATTGAAAACTTGGAAGCATTAGATGACCGTTTCGTCTTGGTAGTACAGGACTTCTTAGCAATGAATATTCATGATCCTGCTCACGGGCATCGAACCTGAAGCCTTTGATGTTACACACAAACGCTTAACCTTTATACGATTGATTCGGCATCTAACAGTGATAATGTCATCGAGACTCCTAAGAGTCATCATTCACATTCTCAAAGTAATAAACCAAAAATCGTTGTTTCTGTTCTATTTCAGATTCAAAACGTACACCAAGATATTTAACCAATAGTCGAGGACGTAAACGTATACCAGGCACAGAAACAATAGAAAATCTAGTCAAAACGGTTGATTTAAAATTTATCAATTTATTAAATCAATGTTTAACGTAAGTTATTCCATTACAATTTATATCAGAAGGGGTTTGTGGAGATTTTAGAAATTTTCACAGATTGAAATCATGAGTCAGTTGAAGCTAGATCACCATTGAAAACCTGGAAGCACTGAGCGGCCGTTTCGTCCTAGTATGGGACTCCTCAGCAGTGCGCATCCACGATCCCGCACCCCGCGGGATTCGAACCGAGGACCTACTGGCTCCGCGCGTGAGCACTTAACCATTAGACCAGTGAGCCCCCAGGTTTTCAATGGTGGTCTAGCTTCAACTGACTCATGATTTCAATCTGTACAATTTGTATATTGATTGTTTGAATCTTTCTCATTGATGTTTAAGACTTCAGATTGTTCAATGACTTTTGGTATATATGGATCTATGATATTGTCATTAAGTCGAAAAGGATTATAGGTAGAGATGAATGATGGTTAGTAGTTCATTTCATCTTTATTGGATTTTGTCAGTTAGATATACTCGGACTCCGACCTAGTCACCCTTCATTGAAAATGTTATCGCTTTATCAATTTTGATACTGAGTCTTATATAACCATCGGCTAATTTTGTTATTATTTCTATTTTTTTAAGAGAATAGTCATGAGATAGTCGTATTATTGTCATTTTGTCTTTAGTAAGTGATTTTTAGATGTAACTCTCAGTATTGTAGTGTAAACCCAAGACTAGTAAAATTGCATAAGAGAATAGTTGTGTGACATGGAATTAAACTAGAAATGTAAATCATTGAGTGTTGAATAATTAGTATTCAGAGTACATGTAATGACTTTATGTCCGACTAGTTACCACGTGATTTATCCACCAATCAAAATACGACTTATACAATTTTAGCACTATGCTAAAACCAATGACGTTCGACCGGTATGAGCAGCCTAGCGGCCTTATTGGTCCTATGTCCGCCTAGCTCGTCCATTTGAGTACAGAACACCAATACCAACTTCCACTATGCGATGCGAATGGAATCGAATCATTTATTTTAGACATACTGGGTTTATATTACCAAACAAACAAACCGCATCACACCATAAAATAGGAAATAACATATGTACACAATAAAGCCAAAAAGTGGCTGTGGACGTGGGAGGCAGTAGTCAATAGACTGAGCACAATTTAGGGACAGTAAATCGTATAATAATAAATTATAAGTCAAAATAAAGGTTATAACAAGGGGAATATAAATATACATAATCTAATTAATGAACAATTATACTATAAGAATTGATAGACAATATTAGTCAATTCATATGTCTCCGAAGATACCCGTAATTTATTCTTCAATAGGATATAACATCACATGTTCGTTTTGAGATCTAACAGTTTTGAGTTCGAATCCCGGTAGAACTGTAAATAAGCACTTCAGATGATTCCCATAGAAGAGTCAATCAGTTGTTCAGTGATTTGTAGTTAAAAAAAATATCATTTACTTAACATCAATCCGTATTGTAGACTATAAAATTTAGCGTTTCCTGGAATGAATAAATTTGTGTTTGATTTGAGATGATGATTCAATAATTCAATCTCAATATATCCTACAAGGAATCAAACGTACAACTTTAAGGCTTGATAATATCCAGTACTGTGGTTGCATTAGACATGAACTTCTTAGCTACCTTTTAGTTTGACAAAATCAATCCGTTTATTTACTCTTATAGAGTAGATTTCATGGACTACAATGAATGAGAATATATTTTGAACATACATCAGAATATAACTTGAAGTGACTTTGAAAGGAGAATATAATAAAATCTTATTGACTTTAGGTATTTTTCCCTCCTGTGCACGTCTTTCAACATAATCTATACAGTGAATTGAATGAAATCAAAGAGAGAACTTAAAACTTTAAAAATGAATTAATTCAAACTGAAACATTCTATACGAAAGAAGTACTGTTGAATCCCCCCCCCAGCTTAATTGTATAGAGGTTAGGCATTCATGTACAGGACAGAGTACTATAGGTTCGATTGTGATTGTAGACTACTATGGAATTCATTTATAAGATTATACAGTGATTTAATACTTTTAGGATTCCAATGGTAATCTAACTTAGAACGATTCATAATTTTAAGCAAACTACAAAACATGATATCATTGTATACTGGATTACTCACGTTGTGCATATATCTCTGTGAATATACTAGGTAATCTATATGTAAAGAATCTTTTGCGATTGTATGTATTGATCTATCAGAATCATAAATGGCAGATTAAACTTTCACTCATCAAAATAAACCGATAAAAAATAGTAGAGTTGAACTGAGTTAATGAATTGTTACCATGGGATTTCATCATCATATTGTGAATGCTTAGAACTACAATTGATCAGGGTCTTTTTATTATAAAATGGATCACGTCTATTATAGACTACAGACGGGTACAAGGTAAGGATGACAACTCAAGTGATGAAGTAGTACAACTTCATCAGTTGAAATGGCTGGAACATGTGTTACTGATACCCAAACACCGAGTGTCCCAAAGTGCGATGTTTTTGTAATGTAGGAGTGGGTTGGAAGAAAGCTAGGGGCGGCCAAATCCATGAAGTCATTGACAAGTGGAATGATCCATGTTGGTGGGTGTGGACCACTTGGTTTGGATGCACGAGACGATAGCAACCGATGGTCAGAGACCTTGAAAGTGACATGGGTCAACATAGTTTTCAATGGTGCAGGTGTATCAACTCTTTGTGTTCTCTCAAATTCTAACCTTCTGAATTCTTCATGTCCCTCTTTGTTTTTCTCTCTACAAATTTATTTCACTTGATTATACTTCTTGAATAAAGTGTTCAAATCCTAATCTCTCCGACTACTGCTTATACTTTTACTACTTCTACCACTATGGGATTTGAATCGATAATTGTATCTGTTTGTAAATGTGTTATGGCAACGTTAACTGATGTACGTAGGTATGAAGTTCTACATTGTTGCTGACTGGCTGATACACTTCAGACACAAGTTATGGTAGCTTGTAACGAAATTCAGGATGTATATTTCAACTGGTTCGGAAGTTGTTAGCTCAATGTTTCAGCATTTCAGTGTAAATATTCACGCTAAGACTTTAAACCAATAGTTTTCGCTTTCCTTGCTCAACTCAATTTCTATTGAGTAATTTGGTGCTTATACTAATTCAGAAGTTCACTGGATAATTGATATGGACGGTTCAATCGGAAGGTGCCGAGTTCGAGTAGCACTGTTGATATCAACATTTGAATACAAGTATATTCAGATATTTAGTTCTATGATTAACAAACTACAATTTGTCATTTGCATTTTACTTTTCTTCTACTAATAGATGGGATCCAGATGAAAGAATTACACCAAATGAAGCATTAAATCATGAATGGATTATACGTGAAACTGAACAATCTAAACAAAATGTTACATTTCAAACATTGGAACAAACTAATTCAGAGAATAAACAGAAAGATACAATTGCTTAAATCACTATATCTATCACTATTGATCTTGATATAAATATGTAAGTTTTTTGGGTGTTTATTGTAATAGTTTTCATTATGAACTGACTTTAAAAAATCCCTGATACGGCCGAGAATGGGGAGAGTCAGTTCGCTATCTCTCTCTTTCTTTCTCGAAATGCTCTAGCATGGCCAAATGCATACAACCACTACCAGGGAAGTCTGGAATTCACTCCCAAAACTGAGAGGACGAAAAGCGAATATCATTTAAGTTGGTGACAGTATTCCACAATTTTTCTATGTACATTAAAAACAACCAGAGCATACCATGAAAGTGATGTCCAGTAATCAGTGCGAAATGTGGGTAAACAGGTACTTAGCCTAAGGGCTATTAAATATGTAATCACCTTTCCTGTTATTGATTTCTACAGTGGACTCACTAAGAGTAACCGCTTGTCGTTGTATTAAATAAATTATTTCCTAGTCTATACTTTAATCCTGTTTTCTGGGTCGTAAATCCTCACTCTGATATAACTTCATTAGTCTTATTATCATATCAACGTATTATTGTTGTAGTATACGTAGGAGTGAAAAAACTACTTTAAACCACCCGTTTTATTGTGGTGTGTGCTACTGATATCGACAGATATAAGTAGTAAGTATCATCAACCGAAAGTGAAATGTCTGACGGTAGAACATGAAGGGGGGGGCATCGGCCTCGTGGCTTCCGAAGGAATTCGGCTTTCATCATGAAGCGTCATAGTTCTTCCAAATGAAGACCTTCTAACTCCCAGGGCAGAGTTTAAGTGGTTTAAATTATTTCTGTGGTTAGGGTTTTTTAGCAAGTCAGTTTTCTACGGGATGGTGTCGCAGACCCCATACACAACCCACTTCCTTTATCTGGGCTTGGGACCGGCAGTAACTCTAGAAGAGCTACAGGTGAAGTTGGTAGAAGATGAAGAAGATCAAGTTGAAAAGAACGAGAATGGAGAATGAATAGTATGGAAATGATAAAAGAACAATCAAATTTCATACAATTGATTGACATTCTGTAATGCTGTGATGAACTACATTTGATTATCCCCACCAGTATCCTTATCCACCACCCTATCAGTCACTAATCTGAATTCTTCCCTTAACATCGTAATTACTCTTTCCCTAATCAATATCGATCAATATAAAGTCAAATCAATGAAAGTATACTCTGATTAACACATAAAATCAATCTCTGTTTCTTTCTTTTTTAAGGTAGTACAAATATACGTTAACCTTGTCAACAACTAACCAACCAATCAATCAATCATTAAGAAGAGATTCAATCTGTGAATAATACACTTTATACATAAATTTTTTCAATCATATTTTATATTGGTATCAGTTGAAGAAGGTATATTTTATTTTAGGTAAATCCATCAATATGATTAAGAAGTATGATTTACTTATTTATCTAAGTTAAATCACCATTGAAAACCCCGAAGCACTGGATGCCCATTTTGTCCTGATAGTATGAGATACCTCAGCAGAGTATGAATCCACGATTCTGCACGAGGGACTCGAACCTAGAACTTTCAGTCTGTCGACATAAGTAGTAGTGTACACCACAAAATTAGTAACAAAATCCGCTTGATGCTGTTTGCTTGTATCTTCCCATTGTAAAGGAATGAGTGGTAGTAAGAAAGAGAACCTGTAAAGAATGAATGAATTCGTGGAACGAAAATGTATAGGTAAATTTTAAAACTCAGTATATAAGAGTAGCCCGATGCGATCGATGCTGACCGAATCATGTTGTTTAGTGTCTACAACAATTAATTAACAATAATCAGTTGTACTTCGACAAGGCAGTCTACGCATGCTAATTGAACTTAGTCCAATTTACAATGATCGATGGTTGATTATCACTATTTGGAATTTCAGTATGATAACAGTATGATGTTATCTTGACTGATACTGTTACATCTAAACTTGAACTAGAATATTCCAACATCACTAATGACAAGATAATATGACACTGATCAATAGGTGTACAAATCTCAGTCTTACAGAGAATGTTATTAGATTCCTGAACAACTCAATTACAGTGTCAGTCACTGACCATGACACTGAATGTGGTAAGTTAAAATCCTAAACAATTACTGTTAACTCACTTGGTATTGTTTTACTTGAATCTTCCCATTGATGTTTTAGGACTGAAATTGATCAGTCTCATACTGGCATATGTGCATACTGTGCATATGCCTCGATATTGCCTTAATTTACAAGCACTATAAGCAAAGATGGATAGTGGCTAGCAGTGGAATCCAGGACGCGCGTTTCGTCCTGTTTGGGACTCGTCAGCTGCATGTACCTGCATCTCAGAGTTAATGTCCACTCTGGGACTCGACCTCAGTACAGTTCGCTGCAAACGCCATCGCGTTATCCACTTAGCCACTGAGTACTGATAGCCAATTGTTTGTGCAATGTTGTGAAGTTTAATTCACTTGATATTGTTTTACTTGAATCTTCCTATTGATGTTTTAGGACTGTTAACTTTAGAAACTACTGATTAATTTTCAGTAGTTAAAATGAAAAGCAAAAAATAAACGTCTGTATGTGGTGCTTATCGTAAATTGTATTTAGATGAAATACAGATCAATAAAACGAAATACAATTTGACATAAGTCGAGAAAAGGTTAACCGATATGATTTTAATACTTTCTAAAGACCAAGTGAATTGGTTATAACAGGAGACAATAAATAATTCTGATAGGTGGAGTTTTGTTCTCTGAGCTGAATGGTTTGGTCGTGGAGCTCCACCTGAGCTACAAATCTTCTCCACCATCTCAATTCTGATAGGGTTTCGTTCACTGAAGTGGATGGTTTAGTTGTGGAGCTTTCATCGTTCGGCTGAACGACATCATCAGCAGCACAAATTTCACATAGAAATGAAGTGTTCGACTTTCTCTACACATTTCGTTCACAGCTTGTGTTGTAGACTTCGACGTTCACTGGTTATTGTTGACCTTCAACTTGTCATTGTTTACTTCTTTGTTTTCCTTGTATCTTCCATTGGTTTGACCAAACCATCCATCTCAGAAAACAAAACTCCATCAAAATTATCCATCTGAGCTACAAATCTTCTCCATTATATCACAATAATTAATGTAGATAAACACGTGTGGCCAGTTTAGGACTAAAATCCCGATTTCTAATATTCTAATTACTATAGAGAAATAGGTCATATATTTACGTGTTTACAGTTGTATATAAATATTAGATCAACGGTCATTTCTCGCGCCAGCTATTCATATGTATTTTATCAAATACACTTACTTTTAAAGCATTTTTATTAGAATGGTGGTTTTTGGAGATTGTAGTGATTTTAATAGTTGAATTCATAAGTCGAAGTTAAGCAGTCGCGTGCAAAGACGAAGGTCCTCAGTTCGAGTCCTGTGTTTAGGATTGTGGATATGCACTGTTGAGGAGTCTCATACTGCCAGAACAAGACGGCTATCCAGTGCTTCCATGTTTTCAATGGTGGTCTAGCTTATATCGACTAGAGAATTTAACTTTTAAAACGCTTGTCGAAGCAAAATAATATTCAATTTACATGTATGAAACATGAGTTCTGGTTGATTCAATCAACGAATGTTCATAACGTTACCTACGTGTTTCCATCATATTTGGTAATAATGCTTGAAAAGAACTTTTTATGTCTTAGCCCAACAATTTACAGCAATATGTAAATACAGTTTGACAGAGAATCAAAACCCGGAAATTTTTACATCAGTTAGTAAACATGGATACATTTCCATCAACTTGAAGTATTGAACAATGCTGAGATGATGTCATTGATGAAGTATTGTCTATCTTCGTCTGTTACAGTTTTCTTAAAAAATTTCAGGATAACCAGCTTCAGTTTACAAACTATATCAATGTTTCTCCTCAATTTAATATCCATCTCACATTAGCACTATATTCTTTGTTACAAGATAATCTGTAGTGTGTCTAACAAACAGCTTTCAATTTATAGTTAAGTTGTAAATTGTAGTGTCGGTTACTATGTCAAAATCACATAGCTTATTCCGGTTTCCGAGTAAGTCAGTTTATTAATTGTTCTTGAGTCATATCTTGACCTTGCCAATCATTCGCTTATCAACTTTGACTGTACTCATGTAAGCGTATGTGCACGCACTTTTCATTCTATTCATCACATATCTGTAACTTATTTTTATTGATCAACGCTTGATGAAATGGAATTGGCTCACACCATCTTCACCGCACGTCATTTAGATTCGTTCTCTTCTCTTCATCCCCCTTTTTCTTCTATTTCTTCGCTTTGTCCCTCTGATTGTCTGTCCAGATCACTGAGTGTACAAAGTATATGAATTCAAGCATCCATTCTCACATTTGATCTATTTAATTCCGTTATACACTAACGCGAGTTAAGTCAATAACTATACATGAGGATTGGTGACGTGCATATTTCAATAGCAATCAAATCCAACCTGATTGGAGTCAGAATAATAGCCATTAAAAAGTAAATATTGCTCTCATCTGTTGGAACCACCGGGTAAATAATAGTGAGGTTAGACGCAAAGTATTAGGGAATGTTGGTAAATCAGTTGATGAGGTTAACAATCTTCATCGAATGAGATGTTTGAGCCACGTGTTGTGTATACCTGAGAACGGATTACCACGACGCTCAATGATTTGTGTTAGAGGATGGTTGAAAGGAAGTTAGGGGTGGCCAAACCAAAACGTGGCATCAGTACTTGAGGCCATTGACTTCCGGTATGAGCCATGTTGGTAGATGCGAACTACTTGGTTGGGATCCACGTGACTATTGTAACCAATGGTTGGAAACTGTGTGTGATATGACTCAGAATCGATCACAAAGGCGTAGGTATATACACTCTTCCTTTCTTTCTACGAACTAATTCTTTCGTCCTTTACTATGTCCTTACACATAATCTTGTTGTGCTGATGGGGTATGGCAACTTAGACCGATGCGCATATGTGCCTGGTCCTACGTTGTAGCTGACTGA